AACTCCTGACCTCAGGTGATCCACCCACCTCGGCCTCCCAGAGTGCTAGGATTACAGGCGTGAGCCACCACGCCCGGCCACAAATAAGACTTTTTATTTGCCACTATTATAAGTCTGAACTTTAAACAGATTCTTGGACTGGTGGTTCATATCCATCAGCTCGTTCAACTTTAGCACCTGTCTCATCCCCAGTGGCTTTTCCAGAATTACTGCCTTCACCATGAAGCTCCATGAGTTTTCCCAATTCAAACTTGGGCTTCTTCAGCATTTTTACTTTTCTAACGAAGACATCATGGAGAGGATAAATAGATTGGCAAGCCTTTTCTATGTCTTTTCCATTGCTGTCTGGAATCAGTTTATTGGCCATTTCTTTCAAGTCATTTGTCTGCACCTCTCAGGTCATGATTTCCATCATCTTCTTCCGGATTTGGCAGACCCGTTGGTGCTGAGCATAAGAGGTCTTCCGTATCTGATTGTTGCGTTTTTTAGTAAAACCAACACAGAACAGACGAAACAAGTAACCATCGGTAGCCTTGACATCAACATGAGCTTCAGTCATTGTCTGCCATTTTTTGACCATGGAACACATTTTGTCACGGATAAGATCCATGCCATGGAAGTTAGTCAGGCAGTTTTTGCCCTGAACATATTCAGTAATCAGCTTGAATTTTCTAAATGCAACTTCATCATTCTGCAAATCAGCAAGACTAACTTCAAACACTCGACCCTTGAGGCCATCAGATGCAATTTTGGTTCCTTGGGTCCTGGTGACTAGCGTCTTTCCAATGTTTCTTATATTGAACATAGCAGGTGCTTTCACATCATACCAATCTTTCTTAGAAAATGGATCAACCACTTTCTTCTTGGCTCCCTTTTTCCCGCCTTTTGTAAGGCGCTTATTCTTGCCAACAGCCATGGTGCTGCTCAGAGAGCCAAAAGGCTGAAGGACCTTCTATAAAACAACTGACCTCTATTCTTCAAAAACCTCAGTTATGGCTGTGCGCAGTGGTTCATGCCTGTAACCCCAGCACTTTGGGATGCCTAGGCGGGCTTATCACCTGAGGTCAGGAGTTCGAGACCAGCCTGCCCAACATGGAGAAACCCGTCTCTACTAAAAATACAAAAATTAGCCAGGTGTGGTAACATATGACTGTAATCCCAGCTACTCGGAGGCTGAGGCAGGAGAATTGCTTGAACCCGGGAGTCAAAGGTTGCAGTGAGCTGAGATCCCACTGCTGCACTCCATCTAGCCTGGGTGACAGAGCAAGGCGCTGTCTCAAAAAATAAAAGTACGTTATAAAGGACAAAGGGCAGGGAACTTTTAAACCTTTTTCGATTAAGCAAGGCTACAGAGACATGACAATTAAATGCACCGTGATCCTGAATTACATCTTGGATTTTGTATTCTCGTGGTTACAGGACATGTAATTTTGAAGAGACAGATGTGGTAAAGGGCATTATTGGGACAACCAAAAAATTTGAATAAGGACAACGTATTTTGTGTCAATGTTACATTTCCTGAGTTGCACATGCATACTGTGATTATGTAAGAGGATGTTCTTAGGAGATACCTACTGAAGTATTTAGGAGGATAGTGTGATACTGTCTGCAACTTAGTCTCAGTTTTTCTGTAAAAACTGTTGCATGTGCACATTCCTCGAATCACATCTTATTCCTTATAGACAGGTAGGAAGATAAAAGTGTGTATTAGACGTGGTTTTCTACGGTGACAAGAGGGACTGACTGGTCAATTCTGCAGGGGCAGCACAAAGAAATTTTTCATATTTGCTGTGTTTAACCTGAGTGGGGATTGAGGTGAGTTTTAGAACAAGAGAGAGAGATTCAAGAAGAAAGTTTCCCAATGCATGTGACAGCTCTCAGTGTTGTGGTTGGAAAGTAGGGGTCATCCGGTGTTGTCCTGTAAAGGAAGGCCGAGAAGATAGCCTTGCATGCCATGCAGAGGTGTTTGAACTTCTTCCATAGACATGATAGGTCTGTTAGGATGCTTTCAGCTGCAGTTGCATTGAACTCCAGCCGAAATGGCTTAAATGATAGCAAGTGTGTTTTCTCACATAACATGAAGTTCGAAGGTGGGGAGGTACCAGGGTTGCATCACTCAGCAGTTCAGAGATGATCTCCCTATTCCAGGTGTTTTGTGTTTTTGGCTGCAGCCATTCTTAGTGTGCTAGCAGTGTCTGCCCTCCTGGCTACAGGGTGTTTGTTACCCGTCCACGATGAGATCTAGTGAAGAAGAGGAAGAGATTTCTTTCTGAGCATTCCTACTATGAGGCAGGAACACCTTTACACAGTGATCCTGGTTCAGTGTACCTTCAGATTCCCTTAGCTGAAATTGTGTTATTGCAAAGGGGAACGTGATCATGGTGGTTGGCTTATCTGGTCACTCTCTTTCTTGTGGCCAGGGAAGGTATTGCCCTTCCTCAGAGGAACCTCCCAGGCAGCCACCTCAGATCATGTGGGTGTTGCCAGCAGCATGGGGTCAGGCATATTGGTTAAGCAGACATTAGGGTCTGCCACCATGCAGAAAAAAAGGCTTTAATTTTTTATTGTCTTTTCTTTTTGAGCCTAGTTTTGCTCTCACTGCCCAGGCTGGAGTGCAATGGCGAAATCTCAGCTCACCGCCACCTCCACCTCCTGGGTTAAAGTGATTCTCCTGCCTCAGCCTCCCGAGTAGCTGGGATTACAGCCATGTACCACCACGCCCAGCTAATTTTGCATTTTTAGGAGAGACAGGGTTTTTCTGTGTTGGTCAGGCTGGTCTCAGATTCCCAACCTCAGGTGATCTTTGCATCTTGGCCTCCCAAAGTGCTAGGATTATAAGTATGAGCCACTGCACCCAGCAGGTTTTAGTTTTCTTTTCTTTCTTTTTTTCTTTCTTTTTTTTAGAGGCAGAGATTTGCTCTTTCGTCCAGGCTAGAGTGAAGTGGTGCAGTCTCCACTCACTGCAACCTCTGCCCCACCCCCCCAGGTTCAAGCGATTCTCCTACCTCAGCCTCCTGAGTAGCTGGGATTACAGGCGCATGCCACCACACACAGCTAATTTTTTTATTTTTAGTAGAGACAGGGTTTCACCATGTTGGCTAGGCTGGTCCTGAACTCTTGACCTCAGGTGATCCACCTGCCTTAGCCTCACAGAGTGCTAGGATTACAGGCGTGAGCCACCAAGGCTGGCCACCAGGTTTTAGTTTCCTAAAGGTAGGTGTGTTAAGTTAAAAAAATTTGCATGTACCCCTTGCGCTACCATGTCACTGGTGTGACTATGCTTTTTGGCCTGTGTCTTTCTAGCTGTTGCTTGTATCCACATACTTTAATTAGTTCTGCTCTTACCCTGGGTGCCATTTTGCCTACATTTTCAATTTGCTTGCTTTTCCATAATATGCACACATTTTCCTATATTTCCATTGTCATAATTATTTAATGAGTGTATGGTGTTTTATTTTTATTTACATATTTATTTTTGAGACAGAGTGCAGTGGCGATATCTCTGCTTACGGCAACCTCTGCCTCCAGGGTTCAAGCGATTCTCCTGCCTCAGCCTCTGTCCTGAGTAGCTGCAATTCCAGGTGCCCCCACCACACCCAGCTAATTTTTGTATTTTTAGTAGAGACAAGGTTTTGCCATGGTAGCCACACTGGTCTCAAGCTGCTGACCTCACGTGGTCTGCCCACTTTGGCCTCCCAAAGTGCTTGGATTACTTTTTTTTTGGATGCTATGGATAATACTAAAATGAATATATTTCTGCATATCTTTTCCTTTGCACATACATGAATAGCCTGACTGTCGTGGTTTAGAGTGTGTGGGAGATGAGAGGGTAGAGATGACATGTGTAGACCACAGTTCAGAGAAAAGTTACTTTGAAAGGGGCCAGAAAAAGGGGTTGTTCTAGTTCCCATTTGTTTCCTAATCAGGAAGGATGGTCTGTTTTGTTGAGTGTTCTATCTCCTTTTGAGGTAGTGATCTGCTTAACTCCTTTGTCCGTTTATACTCGGAACTCGGTGTACTTCTCATCTTCCTGTGTGATTGACATTTACCCCTTTCATAGAATTCAAATACTTTTAGACTCTTATTGTCTTTTATTTTCAACTCTTTGTAGTTTCTGTGTATGTCTTTATTATCATTTCCTGCAGCTTCGGCACTTTAAGAAATCACTGATTTCATTTTGTGTTAAAGCTAGTTTTGTTGTTGTTTTGGTATTTTAACTTTCAAGTAATGTTCAAGTAATGTAATTAAGATTGGGCTTTACTGTCCCTAAATTGGTTGTCTAAGTCAATGCTCAGTTACTTCTTTGCACACATAGATTCTTAAAAGCATTTTTTTTTGTTGTTGTTGTTTTGTTTTGTTTTTTTTTTTTTGAGACGGGGTTTCGCTCCTGTTACCCAGGCTGGAGTGCAATGGCGCGATCTCGGCTCACCGCAACCTCCGCCTCCTGGGTTCAGGCAATTCTCCTGCCTCAGCCTCCTGAGTAGCTGGGACTACAGGCACGTGCCACCATGCCCAGCTAATTTTTTGTAGTTTTAGTAGAGACGGGGTTTCACCATGTTGACCAGGATGGTCTCGATCTCTTGACCTTGTGATCCACCCGCCTCGGCCTCCCAAAGTGCTGGGATTACAGGCTTGAGCCACCGCGCCCGGCCTTAAAAGCGTTTTAAAATTACAATTCATTGAATTTTGGGGCTGCTTCTTGTTTTATTTTACTTTATTTTCTGAGTTTGCCCTCACATGACAGTATTTAATTATTGTTTTAGAATATGATAAATCTAGTAGGGCTGTCCTTCTCATCTCTGTTTAACTTTTCTGTTTTCAGAATTTGAAGGATATTTTTTCTTTTCCCAAACAAACTTGCAAATCATTTTGACATGACTCTTAAGACATGCTAGTGTTCCATGCTGAATGCCCCATTAGGTTAAGATCGTAGAAACAGGGCAGTTGGAGAGCTGTTAAGTTTGCTTAGTTTCTCATTTCCATTTCTGCTTAATTTCTAGATTTTGGATCATTGTTTGACTTGGAAAATGATCTTCCTGATGAGCTGATACCCAATGGAGGAGAATTAGGCCTTTTAACCAGTGGGAACCTTGTTCCAGATGCTGCTTCCAAACATAAACAACTGTCGGAGCTTCTACGAGGAGGCAGCAGCTCTAGTATCAACCCAGGAATAGGAAATGTGAGCGCCAGCAGCCCCGTGCAGCAGGGCTTGGGTGGCCAGGCTCAAGGGCAGCCGAACAGTGCGAACATGGCCAGCCTCGGTGCCATGGGCAAGAGTCCTCTGAGCCAGGGAGATTCTTCAGCCCCCAGCCTGCCAAAACAGGCAGCCAGCACCTCTGGGCCCACCCCCCCTGCCTCCCAGGCACTGAATCCTCAAGCACAAAAGCTGGCGACTAGCAGCCCTACCACGTCACAGACCGGACCTGGTATCTGCATGAATGCCAACTTTAACCAGACCCACCCAGGCCTCCTCAATAGTAACTCTGGCCATAGCTTAATGAATCAGGCTTCTCAAGGACAGGCGCAAGTCATGAATGGATCTCTTGGGGCTGCTGGCAGAGGAAGGGGAGCTGGAATGCCATACCCTACTCCAGCCATGCAGGGGGCCACGAGCAGCGTGCTGGCTGAGACTCTAACGCAGGTTTCCCCGCAAATGGCCGGCCACGCAGGACTGAACACCGCACAGGCAGGAGGCATGGCCAAGGTAAGTGAGCTGAAGTGCTTTCAATAATACTTCCTACCTAACCGCGGTCTATCCCTGCGAGTAAAGCGTAAAATGGGTCCTGTGCCACTCATGCTTGGAAGAGACGGATTTCTTTCTAGGATAGAGACCTCTGCCCCATTTCTGTCTTTAAAATGAGAATTCTTAAAGAAGTAGGATAGCTTGCAGGTCAGGCAATTGGAAAAATACAGGGCTTTCCTTTGGAGGGATTGCCAGTTTTCAGCCTCTGAGGAAAGCGTATGGAGGTATGAATGAACACATGGCTGAAAGAGGCCACTTTTTTTGGAATCGGCTTTGGAGTGCATCAGTGAACCTGATAAAGGTTGTGTCCTGCCTCTCTACTGCCCACTGATGAGGTGCTTGCTGGTCTGCGTGCTCCTCTATAGCCACTCAGTGAAGTGTCTGTTGTCAGTCTCCATTTCACTGATGGAGAAAGCTGTGTTCTCACCCTCTGACATGTTAACAAGGAAGAGGTGGCAGAGCCCAGGAGAAGTACAGGCATTCGGGTCCCAGAGGAAACACCAGTGTAGTGGTTCTTGAAGTGGGCTCCTCCTGGACCATCAGCAACAGCAGCAGCAGCAGCAGCATCCCCTAGGAGCGTGCTAGATCCGCAGACTTCTTTATTGACTCAGAAACTGGGAGTTGGGCCCAGCGCTCTGGGCTTTAAGAAGCATTCAAATGGATGCTGGACACGGTGAGTCACGCCTGTGATCCCAACACTTTGGGAGGCCGAGGCGGGTGAATAGCTCAAGTCCAGGAGTTCAAGACCAGCCTGGGCAACATGGTGAAACCCTGTCTCTTTAAAAAGAAAAGAAGAAGAAAGGTGGTTTCAAGCTGGCCCCCGCCACCCACCTAAGTCAAGAGCTCTGCTAGGGAAAGGCCTGGACTGGGATTTGCAGCCACCAGCCTTGTAGTTGCCTTCTAGAGTAGAAACTAACTTGGTGAAGGGGGAAGGCAAATGCCTAGATAGATGTGACAGCTTGAAAAGCCCAGGGGTGACAGGGAGGAGCATAGCGAAGCATAGACAAGGAAGCGCCGCCTGTTCCCACTGAAGTGACAAACACTGTGGATGGTCTGCTGCCACAAGCTTCTCAACGGCAGCTACCAGGCACGTTTTCAGGCAGTGGAATTTTGCACATCCCAGAACAGAAAATCAGTTTGGGCTGTTTGGATTTGATTAGTGCCAAGTAGGGGTGAGGGAGAAATAAGAGTAGACCACAGTTTCCCCACAAGGTTGATGAGAGTGTTGGGTGATGGATCTGAAACCCTGTGACTGTTGTAAACAATGAGAGGATTTTTTTTTTTAACTTCAGAAAAGAGGATGAAGTAATTCTCAATGTTTAAATTGTATTTGTATCTTTTGAAATGTTAGTAGAGGGGAATGTTAACTTAAATTTTACTTGTACCTGGCATTTGAAGAAGAGTCTGTATGAGTGTGATTTAGAGTTGATTGAGAAGGAACTTCTCATGGGTTTACGGTTACTGGATAGATTGATAATTGTTCCTATTCCTAATTCATTCATCACTCTACTCCTTAATGCCCATTTAAAAAATTCCTTCTATTTTGGAGAGTTTAAATCATATGAAGTCGACATAATAGTATAAAACAATGATCTCCGAAACTTTTTTTAATCTCGAGATTCGTGAATAACCTTAACAATTACTGAGGACGCCAAAGAGATTTCCTTAACATATGCAGTATACGTCTCAATATTTACCGTATTAAATAGTAAAACAGAATTTTGAAACTTATGTCATTATCTTCTAGCACAGTGGCATCACACGTCACAAAGCAACTAGAAAACTAGATCCACTGTGTTATTGTGAGAGAATGAGTGAAAAGGTAAATAATGTCTTAGTGTTTTATGGAAATAGTTTTGACGTCATGGTCTTCTGAAAGGTCTGGGACCATGCACTCTACTTCAAGAGCTTTTGATAACATGCATGTAGAAGTTAGGCTTTGTAGATCTAAAGACAAGATCATTATCACATGTTAATAAATTTAGGTCCGCCATGGTGGCTCATGCTTGTAATCCCAGCACTTTGGGAGGCTGAAAGTGGGTGGATCACCTGAGGTCAGGAGTTTTGAGAGCAGCCTGACCAACATGGAGAAACACCGTCTCTACTAAAAATACAAAATTAACCAGGTGTGGTGGTACATGCCTGTAATTCCAGCTACTTGGGAAGCTGAGGACAGAGAATTGCTTGAACCCAGGAGGCAGAGGTTGCGGTGAGCCAAGATCACACCATTGTACTCAGCCTGGACAACAAGAGTGACACTCTGTCTCGAAAATAAATAAATACATACATACACACACACACAAATTTAACAGTAACTTCATGTCATCCAGTGTCTACAGAAGAGTCGCTTTTCCAGTGGCCTCATATGTTGTAATTCGTTGGGGGTTTTTTTGTTTGGTTGGTTTTTTCTTTTCTTTTTTTTTTTTTTTTTTTTTTTTTTTTTTGAAATGTTTTTTTTTTTTTTTTGGCTGGAGTACAGTGGCATAGCCTTGGCTCACTGTAACCTCTGCTTCCTGGGTTCAAGCGATTCTCCTGCCTCAGCCTCCCAAGTAGCTGGGACTACAGGTGCGTGACCACACCCTGATTTTTGTATTTTCAGTAGAGACAGAGTTTCACCATGTTGACCAGGATGGTCTCGATGTCTTGACCTCGTGATCTACCTGCCTCAGCCTCCCAAAGTGCTGGGATTACAGGTGTGAGCCACTGCACCTGGCCTGTGATTTTTTTTTTTTTTTTTTATAGATTTTTACTCAAAATCTACATTTCATTCAGTTGATATGCCTCCTAAGAATCTGTTAAAGAATCTGATAGTCTGTAGGAACCTTACAATTTATTAAAGAATCTTGTTTTAGTTGTCTGCTATTCATCCTGGGGAGTGTCTTCCAGAGGTTATGCTTTGCTGATTACACCTGTAACAGTGTATGCTCCTCTGTCCGCTCAGACTTTTCATTCCATCCTGGGGTTCCTTTATACTGAGTGGTCTTTCTTTCAAACAGCAACTTCTGGATGTCACTGTTTGGAAAGTGAGCCTTGTTGGCGTGTTGGGGATAATCATCTGTTTCCTATAAGTATCTCAAAGCAGCCCACTGAAGGTGGGTAGAGTGCATTTTTGAAAGATGTGTCATGGCCTTGCGGTGGAATGAAAGACCAAGTAGTGGTTGGCAAAAAGAGCAAGAGATAAGCCCATTTTTAAACCGTTCCCTCTCTAGAACCTGACAATAGCAGAGCCAACTAGATTTTAAAATACACAGACTAGGTGCTTTTTTAAAAAGTTAATTTGTTTTAAGAATTACTACACTGGAAGTACATCCTATGAAATAATTCAAATAGGAAAAAAGCAGCACCCTCCTTACAGATTTAAAATACATAAGGAAACCAGACTACATAAGCACCATGCTGTTTTACTTGATAGTGTACCTTAGATGGCTTTCTGTGACACTGCCCAGAGATTGTTTTTTCTTACTGATAACACAGTATTCCATTATATGATACATCATAAGTTATTGATGTGATCTTCTGAGGATGAATATTTGGATTATTCTGACTTTTCATAAGGTATTTTACTGATTATTCATAATCTTTGTCCATTTTTCTCTTGAATTGTTTCCCATTTTTTCTTGTTAATTTATATTCTTAAGTCTCTTAATACATGTTTTCTCCTTTGTTATTTGCCATAGTCTCTTTTTTCAGGAATATGGTCACGTAGGTTTACAATATGTTTTTACCAAATGTACGTTTTCTGTTTTGTTTTGTTTTGAGCTGGAGTTTCGCTCTTTTTGCCCAGGCAGGAGTGCAATGGCGCGATTTCAGCTCACTGCAACCTCCGCCTCCCAGGTTCAAGCCATTCTTCTGCCCCAGCCTCCCAAGTAGCTGGGATTACAGGCATGCGCCACCGTGCCCAGCTATTTTTTTTTTTTTTTTTTTTTTTTTTTTTTTTTTCGTAGAGATGGGGTTTCACTGTCTTGGTCGGGCTGGTCTCTAACTCCCGACCTCAGGTAATCTGCCTGCCTCCGCCTCCTAAAGTGCTGGGATTCCAGGCGTGAGCCACCACGCCTGGTGTATGTTTTCAGTTTTTATAGAAACACATTTATCTCTTTCTTTCCTCTATGGCTTTTAGGGCTATATTACATTTTAGAAGTACTTTTTCTATTAAAAAGTTATGAAATATTTTCCTGTGTTTTTCTCCTTATTTCTTAATTCTTTTTTATGATATAGGGTCTCAGTTTGTTGCCGAGGCTTGAGTGCAGTGGCATGATCTTGGCTTACTGCAACCTCCACCTCTTGGGCTTAGGTGATCTGCCTGCCTCAGTCTCCCCAGTAGCTGGGACTACAGGCACTCACCACCGCAGCTGACTAATTTTTGTATTTTTTTGTGGAGAGGGGGTTTTGTCATGTTACCCAGGCTGTTCTTGAACTCGTAAGCTCAAGCAGTCTGACCACCTTGGCCTCCCCAAGTGCTAGGATTTACAGGCATGAGGCACTGTGCCTGGCCTCCACAAATCTTTAACTCAATTTATTTTGGCATGAAGAGTGAGATATAGACATCCAGCAGTATATATATTTTTCATGTTATAATCATCTTCGTACCATTTATTTAGATAATTGGTGATCCATCTTTTCTTCTGCTGATATGTTAGGCTATTTTTGGTATATACTTTATTCACTTTTCAAATATATAGGATTTGGGTCTAATTCTGAACTCTTTTTAGTTGCATTGACCTTTGCTTGTTCTTGTACCGGAAACATATTTACCTAGCTGTGTGATGAATTTTAATATATGACCGCACTAGTTATTCCTCACACAAGTGGTTCTCAACTCTGGCTACACTTTATCAGATTTATCTGTAGAGTTCTTAAAAATATGATGTCTAAACCACACTGCAGACAAATTAAGTTAGAATCTGTAGGATATGATAGGGGCATTCATACAGTGTGCAGTTCCTCAGATGATTTTCATGGCA